GAGCATTTCGCCAGGACATCAAAGCTGCGCAGCCGGCCGATATCCAGGTTGCTTGCATGGAGAGGTTGAAAAAATACAATTTGCTTTGGGGCGTGGGACCCTCATTCTTGTGGGGGGTATACAAGGGAACCGTGGTTTGCTGCGACCTTAGCGGTAGCGTTCCTTTTTTGAATGGAGTAACTCTGGATGATTCATGGCACCAACAGGACCGAAAGCTTGCGTTTGCAAGGTGGTATGAAAGGGCCACCAGAGTGGCTCGGTATCATTATCGGCAAAGATCCTGCAACCCCGCAAGAAGGTGAACCCCTGAAGAGCAAAGGGATCCTTGTCACACAGAGTTACCAGCAGCCTAATTTGGGCGGCTTGCTGCCATCGTTGTTTTTCACGATCAGAACCGTGCATAGAAGCTCGGCACAACCTACACATCCTTCGTGTTGCTGTTTTGCAAAACATCTTTATTGCTTCCTGCTGCAATCTTGGGGTGCAAGCATGGCTCTTCGTGGATTCGTGAAATCGAGGTCCCAGCTGATTTCCTCAAAGCCCAAGGACCCCTCATCCAGGAGAAACAATGAAGTGGACAGATTCTGGGCCCTCAGCCCCTCTTCAAACTGCAAATGATGCACCCCGTGGTATGGCATGGGGATCTTTCATGCATGCGTCCCATATTTGGAGCCATGAGTCTCCAGCCCTGAGTAGTTGCTGCCGGAGGCCATCTTGGATAGTTTCCTGCCAGAGTCCAAGACGACAGGGCCAGCTGAGGCGAGCGGGCTTGTGGGGACCTGAAGGTGCAGCATTCAGCGTGTGGAGGTTGGGGCTTAGGGTGTTGTTTAAGCGCTTGGGATTAGGGCTAAGATTGGGGGCTGGACATTCTGTCTAGGAGCAGTCCATCTTTCGCATATGCCAGCCACCACCGAGCAACTAAAAGTGGGCCAGGCGTATGCACTATGAGTAAGGTTTTTTCATTGTCATGCCATGGATGCTTTGAACGTCGACCTACAGTGCAAAAAGTGCTCGGATCTTTGGCCCTAAAAACGACTGCAACAAATCAAAATGAGCAGCAACCTTGAGTAGGAAATGTCTTGGTTCCCGAATCGCATCGCCTAGACTGCGTGCTCAGAGACTGCAGCTCTCATGTAGTCATCTTTACGCATGTTCTCAACTTCTGGTAGGCAGCGCCGAGAGCTTGCACAGCCAGCGCCAGAAGGATCTGATTCGTAGACCTGGAAAGCATCGACTTACGCCCAGGAAGAGCCCTTTTGAAAGCCATCAAATCCAATGTACATGACTTAAACCGCTTCGTAGCTCATCAACTGCAAAGCCGGGAGGGAGCCTTGTACATGCAACCCAGAAACATCCTCAACCCTGCAATGAACCCTGCGCTGCTACACTGAGTAGCTTTTCACGTTTCAGGCGTTTGCAGAAAAAGCGCGGCTGATCGTGGCAAAGACGGCAGGCTGTGCTGGCGACTTGCTCCCACAGGAGGTATGGCGCATATGTGTATTCTCTCTCAGAAACGCAGATACAAATATGTACATGTACATATATACATATAACATCTACACACATCTATCTATACATACATATATGTTTTTTTCATTTTCACATACACATAGACATAAAAATGCAGGTCTTGAATGGTGTTTGCTGAGTGTAGTAACCACCAAGTGACCATTTATCGAGATGACAAGTGGCGGTGGGCCGCTGCCTGGCGTCTATGAAGATCACGTCAGCCGTGGTGTCTCAAAGCAGCAGAATGCACGACTGCATGGAAGTGCGTCGTGATGTGCGACAGAGGAATGAGCTAATCTTCTGCTTGGTTGGAGCTTCTTGCGACTTTAAGTTAAGCCTGCTGCAACACTGAAGCTCTGAAACTTCAGCTGCTGACCCTTGAAAGGCAGAGGTCAAGCAGGCTACGCGGTACTACTTCCTGTTTGATGCCTAGTCAACCCCTCTCAGAAGCCTTTCAGGAGCTAGATGTCTAACCTACATCCGAAGTCGCGACCTCCGCAGACAACCCCCCAATCCGTAGACCTTAAAACCCTACTGCCTACGCATCAAACCCTGACTGGGGATTCTAGATACTTCGGTCGTTACTTGAGTATGATTGCGGTACGCACCTGCAGGATTTGGGGTCGAAATTTGCTGTAATTTATCTCATAATCCCTAAAACGATCCCTAAACCCCACACGCTGATGCCCTGATTCTCTGTTCTTTTGAAATGTATGGTTCTGCAGTCTGACCCGGGGATTCAAAGCCTGAATGCGATGCTGTATGGCCATGCACATGGCAAAACCTAGCTGAAGGCTCTGAGCTTTTCAGTCCAATTCCCAAGGCTATGCCAAAAAGCTGTTGGACTCCCCTTCCAAGACGGTCAGCTTTTCCGCTGCTACAGAAGGCTCGCGACAGCTTGGGTTGTCGCTTTGGGGAGTTTAAGGTGCCAGGCTGGTATGCGGGAAGTTTGCTGTCTGGGGGCCTTTTCTGACCCCTCCTTTGGAGGAGATGAAGATGTCTTAGCCCGTGGGTCCTTGCTGCAGGGTTAAAGAGGATGCCGACGCCCCCATTTTTGGAGCACATTTCAGCGTCCCCAAATTTTGAATCAGAACCTGGGACCCGCTCATTGCTGACGCCTCAGAGGGACAATCAGGATGTGAGGGTTGAGGCGGTTTAAGGGTTTAGGGTTCTCAGGGATGAGGGCGCTGGCGTCAAGGAATGAAAAAGAAACATGGGAATTAATACCACACTTCTTGTAACATCATATAAACCTCAAACTGATATTGGCATTTATTTCGGCCATTACAGAACCTAATTCCCATCAATCTTGCATAAACACCGTCTCCATCTTATGTTCCATTCTTCTTGACCATTTGGTTTTCCATTATCTGGATAGTCTCCGTCTAGGCCCCTATACCCTAAACCCTAAGCCGCGTTGTGTGGCGTCAAGGTTTTGCAGGGATGTGTGCGTATTTTGAAGCTTACTTGGAGGGGTCAGGGGGACTTAGTAAGTACACTATTGGGGATAAAGGGGTTATGCAGCTTCTAGGAGGTATAAGCACTGGGGCTATCTTGTAGCCGAAAAGGTTTGTTACTTGGCCTGGGATGGTGGCGGTAAACGGCAGCAGCGGGTCCTGTGTTGTTGCCGAAGTGCCGCCAGATCCACATGTTGTCGTCCTTTTTCTGGGTAGGTTATCCTAAAGGAGGCATCGCGGATGGCATTGTCCAAAAATCACGAACAGATGTTTGAAGTAACCGGACAGCTAAGTCGCAAAGCAAGCGTGTAAGGAGGTTTCAAATCTCCGGAAGGTTACATGCTTAGCTCTTCAGGTTTAGGGTTTGCCTGTGAGAATTGGTGCCGTCATCTTCTTCGCCCATTTCTTGAGACCCGCGGCTTGCGGCAACAGCAAGGAGTAAAGTCTCACCCAGCCACTGCTTGCTGTTGAACCTGAGCCCCTCCCAGAGTCTGCAACATTCTTTGTAAGTTGTCCGCATGATATCCTGAGGCAGGGTCCGTCCTTGCGTCCTTGCATGAGCCTGAAAAGGTTGAGAGTGCACCTTGCCCAAGGCTTCACGTCCAAGAGCATCATTGCCCCAAACCTCTAGATTCCCAAGTTTGCAACCATCTTTTCTTGTTGGTAAGGCTCCCTGGAGCGATCGTTCCCCTATGGCCCCATGGCCCATTTGCAGCTTATTGTTTGTAGCCTCCGGTCAACTCGAGTCACTTAGTCCTCCTGAAGCAATTGAAGCAAGTGCTTACTGGTTCTCAGACGGGAATATAGAGATGATATGAGGATTATATTCCCTGCTACGAACCAGTACGAGAGCCCAGGATCTACACGTACACCCTAGCAAGCACCCTAGATGAAGCGGACGCTTACGACCGAGTGCAGTTCTTAGTACTGGGGTTGCGGTCACCAGGAACTATTCAGACTATGCTGTTTGGGACCTGGAGCCCCATTCTTTGGGTGCTTGCATAAACCCTGCACCCCAAATTCCAAACTCTAAGCCCTGAACCCTATATGACATGTATAAACCCTATAAATCCCCATATAACCCCTATAAATCCCATATATCACTATAAAGCCCTTACAGGACCCTTTAAACCCAAACCGGTAGTTGGGATTGATCTGCAGAGCCTGGCCTCCCTTCTGGGTTGCCCCCTATATTACCCCAGTTTCCATTTCATGTTCCATTTTCTTTTCCATTTGATTCTCCATTATAGGGGAATTCCTTAACCCTAAGCCCTAACCCCTAAACCCTAAACCCCAGTCCCTACTTGAATCAAGTTCCTTAACAGCAACCCAGCCTTTGCATGGGAGGTCTCTTGAAGCCCGAGGATGCTCGAGCCTCCTTTCTCTCCAGCTCTTCGGCGGAGGTTTAGGGGGGAGAATGGAAAAGAAAGTGGAAACTGTTATAATGGGCTATATAGGTTTAGGTTTTAGTGTTTAGGCTTCAGGGTTAAGGATTTACGGTTTAGGGCTTAGGATTTAGGTTTTTGGATTTGAAGTTAAGGGTGTAGGATTTAAAGACTACCTGGGTAGCCATTCACCCGGGAATAAAGCAGTCGCACCCGCTTTTCATTTGAGATACGGGTGTTTGGCAAAAATACGGGCGTTTGCATTTCCCAGCCGTGATCTGGATTCATGCTGAAGCTTAAGAGGCCTGGCACAATTGCCCTTCATGCACCCTAAAATGGTCTCCTGAAAGCATGATGCGAGAGATTGCACCACAGCATGAAAGCATTCCTGAAGAAAGTTATTGACATGCAGCTTTGCCAGCCCCCAAATCCCAAAGAGAAAGAAGTCCCTTGGACCCAATTAGCTTTCGCTTTTCGCGGCGATGCTGTCGAGATCTGGCGAGCTGCCAAGGAGCCTGGGTTGTTTGGGAAGGTGATTCGGAATGGTTCGGCAACTTCAAAAAGTTCTTAAATTCAACTTAAGTCTCTAAGTGCAAAATCTTTTAAGTCCATATTCCGGAGAAGGAGCATGTGTAGCTGAATTTGTCATTCATCCCACGGGGTCATGTAGATCAAGCTGAAGTAGGTGGTCTTTGTCAAGGCAAGATCGCATCCAGAGAACATACCTTTGGAGTGTCTTCAGTGCAACAGATCGAGGGTTCACTCTTCTGCTAATTTTCGCCGTTTTGCCCACAAAATCTTCCGACATGAAGGTGGCCTCAGCGCATGCGTTGATTGCAATACCATTTTTCTCCCATTCCTGATAGATGCGGAGGAAGATATGATTCAAGTAATGTATCTTTGGGCGTAATTTGAACAAGCAGAGGTTGTTGTCCAGGCACATGCGTGTCAATTTCGCGTACCCAAACAAAAACTCGTGGCCATTGCCGATGACATCCCGACAAACCTCATCAGGCATGAAGTAGCCATTGTCGAAAAAGGCCCTGATCACGTTACCGATGGCAGTGGCTGTTTCCAAAATCTTCTCCAGTATATAGTCGTCCTGAACTTGGGGCGCGAAGCTTTCGCACAAGTGAACCACGAATTTCATCAAGACGGCAGTGTCCATGTTCTTGGACCATTTTCCCTCGGGGTATTCCCTGGTACCAGTGTATCCCAGCAAATCCTCAGTCAGGAATCCACAGTGCAGCCTAGTTTTCTGGGCACGTAGAAAAACCTTCAAGGCTTCGTTTAAAGCCTTCAGATCTCGCTTTACACCACCCAGTCCATAGAGCTTCTTCATGGCGTAGATGAGAGCACTGGCCGTAAAGTCTTTGCCCACACCAGCATGCCAGACATGGAAGAAATCTGGACGGAAAAAAGCTGCTGGTGTGTCAGCAGCATCCAACAACATGTATTTGATCAACGGGCCACCCTGTGACCAGGGAAGGGGATTGTTGAGGCCCGCAGTTTGAATCCAAAGTGGCGCACAAAGTCCCAAATCCTCAAAAGGGTATTGCTCATCACCATTCTCATAGCCGGCATGGCATAGCCAACAACATCCTTTCTGTGGATTCCTGGAAGAAGCAGTTTTGCGAACATTGTTAAATGAGCGCTGCAGCTTTGCCACTTTTTTGACAAACGGGGAGTCCCCCGTAAATCCCAGAATCAGAACGCGCCACGTAGAGCCTTTGGCTTGGAACCCATCAGCCAGCAAAGACCGCAAGTGCTTGCCCCATAGTTCCATAAGTTCATCGAAGACAGTTGGATTTTTCTTGCTCAGAAGGCTGCTGAGCACTGTAAATAGGAACCTTGTGGCCCCACTGTTGCCTTTGAGATTAATCCCCTGAAGCTCCACATCCTCAAGTTGTCGTTTGCTACCCAAACTCACCGGCCTCTGCGTAGAGCCAGCCCCCAAAACGGGAAGCATGGAGACGATCTCAATAGCTTCTTTTTTGAACCCTCTTCCACCGTCACCGTGAAGATAATAAGGTATGACTCTGCTTAGGTCAAAGTATTCCGTGAAGATTTCGTGCTGAGGATAAAGTCGCTGGAACTTGTTCCAAAAGGTGCTCATAGAGGCTTCTGCCAAATGCGTAGGCACCCCCAACACTTTGTGGACGTGGTTCTCACTCAAAATTTCAAGCAGCTGTTTCGGATGAATGTAGGGGTAGTGGTTGACACTGCTCAGACAAGCATAGGAGAAGTCAATCCCCATTGTAAAACCATTGTCCCGCAAAATTCTGAACAGGGGCACATCAGCACTTGACAGCTTTATCTTTGCAATTTCAGCCAGCACCTCGCAAGGATCCTTGCGGCTGGCGGCCCGGGCATCCAGAACGAGGTCTTTTGCAGCGACCTTGGCGTGGGGGATTCAATGGTTGACCGAAGTAAACAGTATACTCAAGTTACCCATGCAAGCAAGTAGGCTGACATAATGGGAAGTTAAGCAGGGCAAATCGATCTTTTGAACATGTAGCCGCCGCTATGGGCTGAAATGAGTCAGTCGTGTTTCTACTTGCACGGCTGCCATGTGTATTCACACGCAGACAATACTTGAAAGACCCTATCAGCCTAGAATTGGTTCTTTTTGCGAAGCATTCGTGGCAGCACAATAAGCAAAATATGGAGGCGGGAAGCGAGCGCTGAAGGTTTTGTCGCGCATACTCTCACCACCTAGCTGTTTGTTTCGGCAGCATCGCCCATTGTCATAAAACTCCGCGATAAGCGCAGCCTCCAACATTTCTAGCATGCCCAACAGCTCTGCTCGATGGACTTTGTGAATGATGACAAACTGCTTGAAGTTCTGGGCGTTGTAGCTTTCCCGGCGCGCGTCAGGGTTTGCTGTGAGACCTATCTTGAAGACACAAAGCCTTTGGCCACCATTTTCTCGTATAATTTCATTCACAACCCTGACACAATGCCAGAGAATCTTTGAAGCAACATGCAGCTCGGAGATGCATCTGTAGTCGAAGTCAGGTTTGTCCAGCTGCCCAATCGCAGTGTCTAAAGAATTAGCAGATTGAACAGGCGGCGTGATCCGAACATCAGGCTTTAGAGGCCCCGTGTCATCTTCAGAATCACTCCATGGGAACACGTTGAGACGCATAGTAGGCACGGACAGGCCTATGGAGACCCCACATTACAGAAATTCTCGTGCCGTGAAACAGCTGAAGCCCCACACACACACAAGTTGCGACTCTGCATTCAAAACGTGGTGTTCAAACGACTAACAGAAAGACCTGCCAAAGGCTGCGCCTTCTTCGCGGCCGACATTTTCTGCTGAGGCTCCAGCACCTTGCCCATACTTCTTGGCAATGAGCTGGACTGTCGCACTTAACGGAACTGAAGACATAGCACCTGGCGAAATGAGCAAGCTGACTATAGGAATTCTAGGACGGATCAAAGGTTTCAAGTGTGGCTTGGGCTGTTCTGGATGAGGGATGGTTCTCTTTTACCGCAAAAACAAATCCGTGGACACCATGACTCGAAAGACCCTACATTTTATATGAACTCTATATCATCCCTTTCAACCTTATATAAACCCATATGTACCCTATTACCTCTGTATATGAGCCCTATATAAACCCTATATACACAAGCCCTCTGAACCCTCTAAACCCTATATATACCCTAGATATCCTACATAAACCCTACATAAATTCTGGATGAACCTTGGAAGCCTTTACACCCCCATGGGAGTTTGCAACAACATGTTTGCAGCTCAAGTAGGCATCACGCACAGGACTGCAGTGCGATCAACGCTCAAGATTTCACGAGAAATAACACCCCAAAGCAGCACGGCTCACATCATGGAATTGGGTTTGCTGGCGATCGCTCATTCAAGCGCTTCTACTGAGTTGGCCCCGCTTCACAGGGTATCTAAAATCTATAGCCATGCGCCAGGGCCATGATACTTTCACATTGATTTCCCAAAGGGGCCCCAAGCTGAGGGTGAGGCATGTGTAGATGCTAGACAGTACTTGAGGCCCGGCTTAAGGCCATGATTCAGAAATGCCGTGGGTATGCCACGGGTTCCTATAGCAAAGTGAAACAGGAAATCCGCTTCTTGCATAACCGGACCGACTTTAACATGACAGCCCATGGCTGCTGCGTAGCAGGTTTCTACCCCGGTGACACGAGCTGTGCACCTCACCGCCAATCTGTCTACGTGGGATTTAAAGCTCATGGTACTGGTGATGTTTACAGCCTTATAATTGTTTAGCTACCCTGATGCATCGTGAAACTTGCTCGCAGCAATCATTGCATAAGCGGTTCGCCTGACCTGGAAACATCCTCCAAACCCATCAAAATTGAGTGGGCAGCTAGATTTAAATAATTCCGGGGCAAACTGACATGCTCATACAGCTGGCCATCAGGCTTCGGCCGCAGCTTTCTTTGCCGCCTTGCGCGCCTTGGCCACAACCTGCCTCAGATCAAATCAGAAGTTGTGAAATCACTAGCTTTTTAGTGGGGATCGGGTTGGCAGGGTTTGAATACAATTCAAGGTTACATGCCTCCAAGGAGTCTATTCAGGGATTAGGCCCAGCTTGGGTTATAGGGGGTTTGGGGTGCAGTATGCAAAGGAAATTCTAGGAGCAACCCTATAATCCCTGTGAACTCAATTACATACCCTCTACAAGCCTTATAAACCTTGCATGTAGCCCTTTTCTAAACCAAATGCACCCTATGAACCCTATGAACCCAATATAAACCCTATATAAACCACATATACCCCCTATATAGCTCTATAAGGCCCATATAAACCGTAGAAACCCTCTGAAGCTTCCAAGCCCTATATCAACCCTATATAAGCCCTATAAAATCCCTATACACAAGCTGTATATAGACCCTATATACCCTATATCAACCGTATTTGAAGTAGAAGCAGCCAAAGAACTTGTTCGAGGCCTCCAGCGCTGTAGCTCTTGCCATCCTGAGCACGATTTTGGCGAAACTATGTAGTTTGGAACCACAGGCTGAGCGGCATGAACCGCACAGTTAAAAGATAAGTGTCAGCTTCTGCGCTTTCTTGAAATTCGACTGGCATTCGTTCTCCAACCTGAGATTAATAATGACACTTGATTTGACAAAAGGTTTCCACTGCTGCACATTGAAAAAAAGATTATGTTCTAGATCGAGCGGCTTCTCAGTAAACCCGCTGACCTGGCCCTCAGCCTGGACATCCACAAGCTCCTCATACAAAGACTCGAAATCTTTCTGCATAGCTTCAAGTTTGCCAATCTGCCTCAGCTGTGGCAAAGGGATGCATAGTCTATTGGATTCTGTTGGGCTGGGCAGGTCACTCATCCACAGAAAACACCTAGCTGTGTCAAGACTCTGGTTGCAGCTTGCATCCCCGGAAGCAGCCGCACGCATCTTGTCAAGGAAGCTGGTAAGCCCGTTCTTGGCCTTCAGAACATGGCCAAGATGCTCCTTGAGCCGCAAGGCAACCTCAGATCAGGGAAGGATTTAGTTTTCTATGGGTTGCAAATTTTGAGTATGCTTTGAACGTGGTGCGTTGCCAGCTGGGCATGTTATCCAAGAGGCACTCTTGTGGTTGTCCCCCTCAAGGGCCATGTTGGTGACGCCAGTGATATCATCGTCCTTTTCCAAATCAAAGCCGTCGACATGGACCAAGGGGCGGTGAGTAATCTCATCGCCTCCCTCACCATCGTAGGTCTGGGTCCGCGTCAGACTCTCTAGCTCCTCTTTTGTAAGGACCCCCTCGGTACGAATGTTGACCCAGTACTCGAGGGTCTCCTCGTCGTACTCGCAGGTACTCAGCTCAATAGGGCGAAGTTGGGAATTGAAGGGGGGCAAGGGTGTCTTTGTTTCCGGGAGGTATTGGGCAATTTGGGAATGTAAGATAACAATACGAGTTGTACGTGGAGGTCCTCGAAATTGAACTCATTGTTCTTCTGAATTGTCTGAAAGCATGCATTGAATTGCTTCTCACTTGTGGATATTCTATATTCTGAGGCGGGTCGGGTTTACGGGCAATTGACAGTGGACAAAACAATTGCAGAGTAGACAAGTGAGATGACTTTTTGCCACGGGGTACTTCACAGGTTACAGCGCGAAAGAGCCCGTACGAAAAATCAAAATTAGCCACTGCAGTAGTATGTTACTTTTCCTAAATAGAGATTTCCCAGATTGTCTTCAATGAACTGACCTTAAGAACGTGAATTTCATCCACTTAGCTATCGGTCCTACACCAAAAAACAACTACTGCTTCTAGCTAGACCTTGCCCGCTACCATGCTAAAATTGCTAAAGCCTCCATAAAGATGAATGCAGTGAACTAATCTTCCAGCAAAGACAATTGAAGATCCCATGCCCCAAGTTAACTTAGATAATTGTCATTGTTCAAGCGGCCGCACGAGGTTCTTGGATTCGGCCCATTTCACAATCTTCTCGATTCGTGTCCTGGGCGAAAGTAGACGCAACTTGGGGAAGAATCGATTAAGGGGTTCATAGAGGGCTGTGATGAAGACTTTATATAACTTAAAACCAAACATAAGATTTCTGCAGGTATTGGGGCTTCGAGAATTCAAAGTGTAAGGTGTCGGGTGTAGGGGTGCTCGGAAATCAAGAAGTGCATGGTGTCCATAGAAGGCTTGCGACAACCGTTGCTGGGAGATAGTCCACAGAATGTTAATTATAGGACCATATAGGATTTAGGGTGCATGGGGTTCACACATATAGGGTTTAAATATGAGTATATATAGGAATATGTATATAAGGTTTACAGGGTTCACAGGGTTGATGGGGTTTGTAAGGTAAAGGTATATATAGGATTGATAGGGAGGATAGGCGTTGATTTAAATCTACACATCAAGAGTGCTGCTGCGGGCTAGGTGCTGCGAGTATCCCAGCTCTGTCTTCATGTCCTCCTTGGAATAGAACCCGCCCCTGACAGTCAGCTTCTTGGAGCGAGTCTTCGAAGTCATAATGGTGATTGACTCCATGAAGACTGCCTGTAGGGGTGAATGTGGCTCCGAAAAACACTAGGGTGAATGGAATTCTATAATTGCTTAAGTTACATCCTTGATTATGGAAAGGTGGAGATACACCTCGTGCTTGTAGCGATCTAGTGGGGAATGAAATGGAAAGAATTGCTATCATGCACTGTAGCACTAGACGCGCTTAGGCTTGTTTTTTTGAAGCAGATGTCCTTCACACCGCCGCTCTTCGCCCACATGTTAAACAAGGTCTTCCTACCCTTGGCTGCGTCCTCCCACATCTCGAAAATGTTCTCGGGGACTTCAAGTCGTCCTGTGCCTTCTTTGGGGCAAACGATTCGCCTGAGTTTGTTTTTCTCAGCGCGGTTCAGATTGCTGCCGTGAAGAACACGGGGAACACGGTCACCTGGGTCACTTTCCTGGGAGGGCGAGCGAGCTCGCTTCTTCGGGGCCGGCTTGTCAACTTGGGTCTCGGCAACGCTTCCCAGGCTGGCGCTTGGCCTGGGCAGACTCGTGCTGGGCAAGGCTTCAATGGCCGCAAGGTTTGCTGCAGTCACTGGTGCAGGCGTAGACGCCTGCCCGTGCATCATTGCGCACACAGCATTATGTATAGATCGACAGCACGCAACCGCACAAGCAAGAAGCTACCTGGGACACAGGGGAGCTGGATCGCGTCGACTGAGCCTGGAGGGCCTGAATCGTAGCTTGCTGCTGCAACACAATGTTCTTGAGCATCGCAATTGCCTTCCGGAGGCAAACTTATAATGAGCCAATGTCACTTCAAAAATGTCGTCAATGCTCGGACAATTACGTGTGCAATCGTGCGCACATTGAATTCAGCGTAGGCTCACTGTCTTGCTCCGATGTAGGGGTTGTAGAGGATGAAGGGGTCGTGGGCACAGGCCTGGTTGTACCAGGCTCCAGCTTAACCTGATTTAGCGCAGGGCCCAATAAAACTAGCGACCATGTTGCAACGCTACTGCAAGGCATGGTTGAATGGGTTGAGATGTGGAAGCCAAGGCTCTTGTCTGCCCGCGCTGTGCAGCTGGGTGTCGCTGGCAGGCTCGGTCTTCATCTCTGCTTGCGCTATCACAAGTGCTTTCTGCAGCTCCTGATCGAAAGCAGATTTTGTTCATAACCATATAGGAACATATTTCGCCAGAATGCTGAACTAAAGATGCACACGTCATCCAAACCCAGGATCCTGCGACAACTCTCGCAACTCACTCACGCTGCCGAAGGAAGCTTGCTTCATCAGCATAGATAATCCAGACATCAAAGTCGTGGCAGAATGAACATCTTTGGAGAGTGCCATGGTGGGAGGCTGCAAGCTATAGCTCTCGAACAAGCTGGGTCTGGGAACCTCGGGCCTGAAAACGAAAAAGAGCAAGTAGAATTAGGATATATCGGCGCGAAAAGTCGGATTTTTGAAAAGTGGTCGTTGCACGGGAAAATATGGTTGTTGCACGGGAAAATATGGTTGTTTCGAAAATCATGTTTTTCAGGATTCAGCAAAACAAGGCCCGAAGTAAAAAAGCAAACACGAAATGCGAAATCTGAACGAAAAACGTTCGAAACGGCTAGAAGCCCGAGCCTGAAGCCCGAAATCTGAACCAAAATCTTTCGAAGCAGGTTAAAAGCCCGAGCCTGAAGCCCGAAATCTGAACGGAAACCTTTCGAAACAAGTACAAGCCAAAGCCCGAAGCCCGAAATCAGAACCGAAAACATTCACAAATAAACTTTTTAGGCCTGAAGCCCCGAAATCCCAAATATAGAAATACCGAATCAATACAAAAAAACGTTTATAAGTATATGGATGCGCATGATTGCGCATGCATACACAGCTTGGGGAGCTTAGAGGCTTGGATGCACACGCAAGGTTTTGTACAGATGCATGGTTCCTCTAGGTGTCGCACATACGGATCGCAGAGAATGGAAATCCTGCTGGATGTGCAGCCCATATATGGATTACATGATCAAGTGCCATGAACACTTGGCTGAGCTCGTCTTTTACATTCTTTTGATGGGGCCCACGCAACAGCAATTAAAGTGTGGAAAGGCAATCCTGGAGATCTCGCTTGGTCAATTTTCATAATGGTAGGAGCACATAAGCCAGAACCAACCATGGGCTGTTCCCAGCTTTCGACATTACATTATCCACCCTGTGGCCGGCTTGCCTAGAACCATTTTAGCCATGCACGTTGAAGAAGAAGATTGTTTTGTGTTCTGCAGACACATGTACTGTACTAAAAACATTTTCACAAGTAATACTAGAAGGAGAATCCTGCACACCTATCAGGGGAAATCCATTATAAACCATATATGTCCTAAACCCTTTATGCAGCCAAAAGACCAAACCCAATAGAAACCCTATATACACCCTGCAAACCCTATCGCCCCGAAACCCTATACACCCTATGAACCCTGTAGCCCTACGCATGACTGGAGGCAATCACCATGCACTGTTTATGGCAAACTTGCCTCTCGTGCGTCGAGGCAGGGAATCCTGATCTCCCGGGAAGGATTGTTGCGAAACCCTATACACGAGAACGAATTGGCGCAATTAAATTTGCAGTCAACTTCCGAACCTGCATTCTGGGATCTGTACACAGGTTGCACGCAACCCTACCCACGTAATCAAAGTCATCAGCGGCCTATTAGCTGAGGTATTCTTGGTGCTAGTTGTTTCTTGTCTACGCAGGGGGCGCAAAAAGGCTTGCTGGGAAACACTGCTGCCATTGCTGAGGAAGTTTGAGACCTTTGGCCCCGTATAAGTATTTAAGCAATTCAGGGAGGCCCGCGTCGGCCCACATGTCCCCCATTTCCATGTTCATCAAAAGTGAAGTAGTTGTTTCATTTGGGAGGGAAGCATCGATCATCGCTGGGTGCTTGTTGAAGCTTTCCAAGTGGCTTGCCATTTCGAAGCCGAACTCTGCAGTGTATGTCCTTTGCAATTGCACAGGGAGAGCGCACATTAAAGGTTTCAGTCGTGTGTACATGTTACTAGCAGCAATTGAGGGCCGTTCTGCGTTCCTTTCAAAGCAGCTGTTCCAGAGTAGCGCTCAACTCCATCCTTACCAATACTTTTCTTCACAGGTTGGACATGACCGTGTGCAGCCTGTTGTTTCTTCTTGAAGTCTGCTCGCAACACACCCTTGTCGAATCTGGCCACCCGGTGATTGCTACTCCATAATACCGATCTTTTCGGACACGGGTGGTTGTAATGCATCATCCACATTCTGCAAACATAGACCTGGCCGGTCATTGAATCCCTAACACAGGATTATACAAACTTTTATAAGGACACCCCCAGGAACATGAATGCATGTAAAACCTGTTGGCAGCAGACCACCTTGTGGACACGGCATAACCATTGGAATCTTGGATGTCTCGCGGCTAGGCTGCTTATCGGTTGCTCCAGCACCCAACTGGCCTGGAGCCCCACGCAGAGGACGCATACCAATATTGTCCTGCACAGGTAGCTTCGGATACGGGATGGGACTGCTCAGTGACTACTCGGGCAGCTAGTCAAGGGCTGAATAATGTAGAAACAAAATTAGTGGCTTGTGGAATCCTTGCTCAACGACAGAAAGGCCGAACAGAGCATCTAGCATTGTTGGGGCAGAGCACATGACCTTCACGTTCTGCTTATTGGGGGGTCGTAATAACATTTGCGCACTACTTTTTTGGGGGTCGCAGTAATAGGGCACCTCAAAATTCAAAGGGTTGTACATGCGCAGGACCCACACCTAGCATATGTATAGACTCCTGGAATACGCAGTCCCATCATGCAGGCCTTGATAGCATCGAATTCCCCAGGGCCACGCATTCCAGATCACTCCGTCCTAAAGGATGGAGAAATGATCTCATTGTCGTAGCTCTGCAGATAGCCACCCAAGAGCTACATTGCATTCCCTGCCACAAAGTGAAGCCTTCCTGGGCTCCCTTGAGTACAGAAACCAGGTGTAACCTTAGCAGCTAGCGCAGGCTTTCAAAAATGGTTTATAGAGGACAGCGTACAAGGGTGACGAATCTAAGCCCAGCTCGCATAGCCAGATGGCGTTGTTATATCCATTGAACGATGGTGTTCCAAGTCCAACATGCCAGCAGGTTGACCATGCATCTCTCGAATACTGCTAGTCATTTGCCCCTTCCCGGCGTAGTGCTCCAGGAACACAAAGGTCTGCGCACGCAGACTCCCAATGCATCGAACCTACTGCATGGTTTAATAGCAAAATCCTGGATGCAATTTCTTTAAAGGTAGAGCCCCAGCCTGGTCTGTATTGATGCGCTCATTGAAGAGGATGCAGAGGATGGCCAAGATGAAGGCCTCTGCCAGAAATAATTTGTTCAAATCGTTGTTCAACGATTTCATTGAGAACACATTCTTGGGGGAAAGCATGTGAGGCGATTTCGGTTAAAGGAGAATTCACATCCTACTTCGAAGCCCTAAATAGCCTTATATTCCCTAGACTGTCCCCCATAGCAGTTTTGTCTCTAATCCCAAATACATCTTATAAACCCTATATATCAACCATATATATATATATAACGTATATATGCAATAAACCCTTATAAGCCCTAAACCTTCAAACCCTATATAAACCAATATAAACCCTGAACCCTTATCTAGTAGACACACCCTGCTTATGAGGAAGCCTGTGTAAAGTGTGCATGGGGTTGATGAATCGAGTTTGGCTTGGAGGGTCAACTTCTACCGCAACAGTATATAAACTTTAACTCTATGTAGCGTGGGGGCCCTTAAGAATTATTTGAGGATACAAGTGCAACATGGGGGCTTCAGAAAGTAGAAAAGTTATTGGTTTTCACAAGGGAAGGGAACACATGTTCCCAAATACCATCATTTCAGACTGACTGCTTGATGTTTGACATACCCGTTCCCCCCTGCTGCCTTCGGCGCCTGCAACTTCAAAAGGTTGCGCGCAAGACGCTCTGGACACACCATCGCTGCAGGACAGCGCAGCAGGCCCCAGTTCAGCTCAAAACTACAAAAGTTGCGATTTTCAAGCTCCCAACAATTAAGTGCAGATGTCGGTCATGAGATCAGCACTCACTGCCAACTTGGACAAATACACAACCTGAGAGCCCTACATCAACCCTTCGCTGGAAACGTCATGTTGCAGCTTTGGAGATTGTGTGTGCACATCGCCAAAATCCGAAACGAGTCAGCAAGACCTGAGCTTGAATCAGAGTCATCCCCATCAGGAAAGCGGCCGCGAGGAAAGTGATGAGCCATCACGTACCTGCGCGAGCGAGGCTATGCTGGGCTTGTTTAAATGCAATTGTTCTAATTGTAACTGAGGTCTGTCTGCGCAAATCAGAAGTATGCGCGACATACACTTTCTTTTCATGCCAGACTCGCAGAGAACCAAGTTGCGGCAGGAGTTTGCCTAATCCACTTCAGCAGCTTAAGGCCTGCATGGATGATGTAAACGATTGAGGTATGCTGTCCATAGATGGATTTCCTTGCATCCAGGCATATAGGCGCTTGTGGAATGCTTACCTACCCGTGCCTACCGCCGCGTCTCACGCAGCAATCTTGAAATGCTACACCAAAAGGAGGGTC